CTTTATGTATTTTGTGTCTTGACTTCTTATTTTCAGTCATCTGATTGTATTAAATTCAGACTTTTCAGGCTTCAAGTTTTTTGTGGAAGAGTCTTTCAGGATGACTCAACACGTAAAATCAAAAAGGAAAATAACCTGTGATGGTTGTGTATCTGCATGTGCAGTGGGCGTGGTTTAAACTGAAGTGGCGTCACACTTACGGACCAGATACTGCATGTACTGTGTCGACTCCACGAGCATGCACGACGAAGTTCAACACAGAGAGCCTCGGTTTCGATTTGGATGTGTGCAGATGGCACTAATGTGAAATTCTTCTATTTAAAAAAACAAGCTTACAGTGTTACCGTGTTTTTCATCCTTCGCGGGCTTCTATTTTTTGAAACTTTAAAAACCTGGTATTTTTACAACTACTTAGGGCTGCTGTGCAGAAGTTAGTGCTTGATTCATTGGTCAAAATAACGGCATCTTACAACTCTAAAACTAGCCACAAGCAGCACATTTCTTGCAAATCACACAATATTTTGGCTTTGCCTGATTATGGCTATAAACAATTATACTGAGCAAAATTCTTTGCTTTTACCCCTCTTTGTTCCCTTCAGCCCGTGGTCAATGTGTATTTTAAAATTTTCTTCTAATGTCCTCTTTCTGCAGACATCAACGAGTGCGCCAGTGCTCCCTGTACCAATGGAGGCACCTGCAGGGACTTCACCAATTTCTACTCCTGCGAGTGTCGGGACGGATTTCAGGGTATAAACTGTGAGATTGGTGAGTTAAAGTCACAGCCAAAACATGTGTCCACATCTCAACTGGTTGAGATCAATTGCACAATTAATAGAACATGCTGACAGTAGATACATCTGTAAATTTGAAAGTTCATTTTAGCTGTTGTCTTATTCTGAACTTACCAGTTCTGTCTGTAATTTGTTGAAAAATATTGTTTTTGATCCATTTTTTTCTGCTGATTGAATGGGGATGAAAAGTACCAACAAATAACTGCCAAAGTGATGAAAACTTGCATTAATCAATGTACAATACAAATAGTTGAAAATTCGTAAGAATTTTTAACTATTCACACCACTCTGTGCAACCCTGGTCAGGTAATCACGACGGAAAACTGGTAAACAGTGTCCATATATCGCGTGGTAAGCATGTGTGTTGCATTTTAGAGGGATGGACGATAGACCTTATGTTGGGGCAAGAAAATTTGTGGAAATTGCTTGCTTCAAGTACGAGCATTGTATGAGCAGTACAACCTCAAATTAGATTCATGAGCACAGAAAATACGTAGACAAGAGACCAAGTTTTATGAAGTAATCTGCATAAGTCTTGTTGCATCATCAATGTTTTTCAGTGTGCAGCTATAGCGCTGCATGTGTGACATGTAGGTTGTACTGCACATGTACAACAGTGACGCTGTTTTAGCTGGGTTACATAGACCGTTTGCTGCATTTCCATCCTACCTTCTTTGGCATTGGTGCAGTGCGGTGCGGTGGGAACCAGCGTAGCATTGCTTCAATGTGTTGAGCATTGCACACAGGTTTTCACCACTGTGAGAGCAAAGTGCAAAGGGAACGTATGTTGGAAGTTTCTTTTGAAAAGTGTGACTGTTAGGGAAAACATAAAAATACAATCATTTTGATGGGAAAAAAGTTGTTGAGAGGTGTTTTGTGAAGAAAGAGAAGACAACAGGAGTTTCTGTATTATTTAAAAAATTTTTTAGAATTTGTTCTAACTTGCCAATAAAAATTTTAGAGTTGGAAAATCAGAAGCAGAACTATTTTCTTTTTGTCTTAGCAAAAATTAATTGGAAAAAATCAACAAACGAGGATACTGCAGGTAGTTGTTTAAATAGAAGATTTATGGACATACTTAACGAGGCCAATTTTTTTCTGGATTTTTCAGTTTCCTCAAATCTCATCCCTGGATGTTATTAAAACTGTGTCCTTTAGCTTCAGATTTTCAGTGCACTATTACTGAACATTGCAAATTTCTTTGAATCGAATGAAACATTTAAGATTGATGATAATAACTCAAAAGTTGAGGAAAATCTTACTTGCAAAGGAACAGTGGTCAATATGTGGCATGGTCCACATCATTAGGTGTACGTATACATGTGTCCGGGTGTGCACTTGGGTGGCCGTAGGTGTCAGATGCAGAAACTCTTGCATTGCATTTTCACTACAAGAGGAAGGATTTTCACCTTGAAAGAAATCATCAAAACATAAAATATGTAGATACTCCTAGAAATCTTAATTAAATATTTTACTAGGTTTGATGGTTTCCAATAATGCTTCTTGACCTACGTCACGCCATGTTTCCGCATCAATACTCCAGTGCCATAGAATGGTTCTAGCCCTATCTACTCTAGTCCCAATTTAGCAGAGGCCACCAGTGTAACCATACGAAGCAGTGACTCAAGGAAAATTTTCTTTCATTTTCACAATTTGACTTCTATTTTTTAGGCCAGAATCAATTACTCTAGACCTGCAAACATGAAGCTAAATGACTCAGAGTATGGTTGAGTTTATCCTCCCAGTTTTCCACTTAAAAAAATCCCCTTATTTTTGGTCTTTCTTAAAGCACCATTGCTTGGGATCAGTGGAGCTTTCCTTGTGTGACTTTATTGAGTGCATCATCATTTTTTTGTAAACAGTTTTTAAATTAGTAACAATTTACAAGTTCGTGATCAAAATTATTTTAAGTATGAGAAAATATTTCCCTACTAAAAGCTGTCTCCCATACCCCAATTTGTGGTTGCCAAGAGGCTGCTTACTTCCTAATTCTTGATTCTCTCTGATGCAATCATATTTCACTTCAGACCTCATGCCTTAGGATTTCCAGTTGAAAGAAAGGTTTTATGGGCATATCAACTTTCTTTAAGGATCTGGAACCACCCTGAAATAAGTCTATAAAATGGGAATTTTTTTTAATGATATGTTTTCCTTTCTTTTTTCACTTATTTTGGAATCTGAATATTTGAACTAAAAAAATTCACATATTTGGTAATTAATTGACTACTGGCTGGCTTATAAAACTCTTTTCTGATTTCACATGAAATTTAGAAAATTTAGACTCCTACGAAATCCAGTCCCTTTTTTCTTGCATTGGTTGAATATTCACAATCTTTTCTTGTGTTTGCGCAGTACTCCCAATGAGTCTGCATTTTGAGAGTCCCAAATTCACACTACACCAGCTCATTGCATTCTTCGCCACCTCATGCAGTATGTTCCACACACACACACACTAGTCTCCACTGTTTACACTACTTGCAAGTGGCTTGTACTGCAACACGGAAAGTTAAATTTTTTTCCTGGAATTAATGGTGTAAACTTCTACAATGATTAAAAATGTTATATTTTGACCTATGACCCAAACTGTAGTAACTAAACAAACAGTGGTGTGGAAATACACAGTCATGGACATGCCATGGTCTCCTTCAGTGGCAAAAGGTACATGTATCTAGATAAATTGTACGCAGCAAGTGTTCCATGGCATTTGTTCTGAATAAAATCCAACACCTGCACCATCAAAGGGGGCCATTTGGACTTTCAACTGACATTGCTGTAGTTGTATATATACCAAGAGACATTGTATCCCCTTTGCCCCACAAACTTTATTCTCATGAATCTTATCGTGGATTATTATGATTTCGAGAAGAATTTAATCAAAACAAATTCAGATGGGATTTCAAGCTATTCATGGTGACAGACAACGTTTGTGAGTCTGTATGGTTCTGAAAAGAACCGTGTGGAACTCAGTGTTTCAAACAGTATGCTGTGTCCGTCGTCAGGAGACTGAATAGATGCCGACAGAGAGTGGGGCTTATAACCTGACTGGGAGCACTGGAGTGTGACGGATCTTTCTGTGTAGTCAGGTGGAACGAGGATGCAGCTGGTGGATCCACCTGGGTACTGATGCATGTCAGTTGGTCATGGGCTTTGGCGGGGGAAGGTTGCCTGGGTATAGGAGATCCATGGGCGGGGGGGGCCTAGGGTATTGAGGACCCATCATACTGGGAGGTGAGCAGGGGCTGCCAGATTTTGCTGAAACATTGAGTTCCTGATGGCTCTTTTCAGAACCATACAGACTCACAAAAGAGATTGTACCCTTGCATGGTGCTACCGCAAGCTTTCCACCTTAGTTGTCTGTCACCATGAATAGCTTGAAATCCCGTCTGTCGTCGCTCTATGGGGAGCCCACCATGACCAAGGTCAAGCACTACAAGCCAAATTCCATCAAGCGTTCCAAGAGCATCAACAACCTGACCTTCCTGAAACAATGCAGAGATTCCAACACCATTCCTCCGGGACTTTGCCTTAGGGATCCCATCCACAGCCGCAAGTCCAGCTCCATCCTCCACAAGACAAGCGCTCTACTCCGTCTTTGCATCAGGACCACCAGATCTAGTCTGGCATCATTGGATGAAGAGATCAGCGCAACACAAGACCAACTCCAGACCATCATGTCCGCCCGTAGACTTCAGCAAGCAGCCATCGAGAGGAAGCTGCAACAGAAGCTTCTCTCCCTCCACCGCTCAGGGAACATCACAGAACAGCTGTACCAACCAGTTATGTCCCTCCAACTCAAGTTGCCCAAGATTCTTCGGCCAGCCCAAGATACACAAGAAGGAGACCCCTCTATGCCCCATCGTCGCTTCTAGAGGAGGGCCCACCTACAACACTGCAAGACACCTGGCCAAGATCCTTCGCCCTCTAGTTGATAACACCCAGCACCACACCAAGAACTCAGATTAATTCTCGTCCATCATCCAAGACCTTCGCCTGCAGCCAGGCGACATCATGGTTAGCTTTGAAGTCATGTCACTCTTCACCTGCGTTCCCACCTCCGACGCAACCACTATAGCGAGGGACCGACTTCAAGCCGACACCAGCCTCAAGGACCACACCTACCTCACCCCCAGCCAGCTTCAAGACCTCGTCACCACCTGCATCGATTCTGCCAGCTTCCAATGGCAGGACAACTTCTATGAACAAACAGCTGGAACTTCCATGGGATCCCCTGTATCCCCGGTTCTGGCTGACATATTCACGGAAGAGTTCGAGCAGACCACCATCGCCACAGCAGACCAACGCCCTAAGATCTGGCTCTGGTATGTGGACGACACCTTCGTCATCTGGGAGCACAGGCAAGACAACCTTCAATTCTTTTTGGACCACCTCAACGGGCTTCACAGCAGCATCCACTTCACCCTGGAACAAGAGCGGAATGGCAACATTTTGTTTCTTGATGTTGAGGTGTCCAGAAGGGAGGATAGCAGTCTTGCCAGGAGGGTTTATCGCAAGCCCACCCACACTGACCGCTACCTCAACAGTGCCTCCTTCCACCACCCCAAGATCAAGTCATCGGTCAACAGAGCCCTCATCTGCTGAGCCTACATCTGCTACCAAGAGCACCTACACAAGGTACCCCACCACATCTCCGCAGCACTCCTACGCAACGGATACCAGCCCAAGCAAATCAAGACTCAAGACCCAAGATCAAGTCCCCCTCCCGGCCGTAGGGTCCCCTATACCCAAAGCCAACTAAATAAGGCCCCTAGTTCTGTCACTCTCCCCTACCTAGGATGTTCCTCCCACCACATCCAGCGTATCCTGAGCAAGCACAACATCAAGGTGTTCCACACAGCTCCCTTCAAGATCCACGGGATGCTGACTTCCCATAAGGACAGGCAAGATCCACAGTACCGACCAGGTGTGTACAAGATCCCCTGCCAGTGTGGCAAAGTGTACAGCGGAGAGACTGGTAGGGACCTCCCTACCAGGATCAAAGAACACAAAGCCCATGGCAGGAAGGGGGACTATGAGAAGTCAGCCATCATCAAGCATTCCCACACCGAAGACCACACCATCAACTGGGAAGAAGCCCACCTCAACGCCAGCATTAAACAGTGGTACCCAAGAGGCATTAGAGAAGCCCTGGAAATCTCCAAACACCCTACTGTGCCTCAAGACATCGGCTTCTCCATCAGCGACATCTGGCAGCCCCGCTCACCTCCCGGTCTGATGGGTCCTCTATACCCTAGCCCCCCCCCACCCATGGATCTCCTATTGGGTCCATTGGAAGGGGGCGGACAGCCCATGACCTACTGACATGCATCAGTACCCAGGTGGATCCACCAGCTGCATCCTCGTTCCACCTGACTACACAGAAGGATCCGTCTAACTCCAGTGCTCCCAATCTGCTTATAAGCCCCACTGTCTGTCGGTATCTCTTCAGTCTCCTGACGACGGACAGAGCAAACGTTTGAGTTTCTCACGGTTCTTTTCAGAACCATACAGACTCACAAAAGAGATTGTACCCTTGCATGGTGCAAAACAAATTCTATGACATTTATGGGAATCTGAGAACAGTTTTGTAATATTAAAGCATCCGATGTTATTCCTACTATTTTGCATGTTAAATCTATGAAACTCAGAAGTTTCTACAGTCTTGGAGAAATCTTTGTGAAATCTTATGTGATACTTTGAACATGTTATCCTTTCAGGTAGAACTTTTCATCTCCAGCATGCTATCATGTATCGCATCAACATCGCACAAAATACTCTCTGGCATGATGTTGTGAACCTTGGAAGTTGTGTAATAATGTGTTTCAGATCTTTGATGTGAATGTAGCATGTGTCATACTAGCAGTCTTTGTGTATTGTGAAGCCATAGGCACTTTCTCACATGACCAAAAAAGAGGAATAAATTAGCAAATGCCTGGATTCACGCAAACAGCTAGATACGCCCCTCTTTCATTCTATTCAAGCAAGTTATACTCTGTTGTCTTAAGCTCTCATTTTGCACCGGGTTTCTTTATTCTGGTTTGATTTGCAGATTATGATGAGTGTAACAGCCAGCCTTGTAAGAATGGTGGATCCTGCTTTGATAGAGCCAGTGGTTTCACCTGCCTGTGTCAGGCAGGATGGTATGGGGCCACATGCAACATGGGTATGTTAAAGTTTGAGCTGCTTTCATCTGAAATGTGTTTTGTGTAAGAGGAAGATACCTGAGCCTGGATGTCCATCATCAATTGCTCATTTTGCATTTGTTCCACTGACAGCATCATTGTTGCAGGGAATCCATGTATGATGCTATTAAGCTATCAAAGTTTTATTGATTTGTCTTTCTGTATTTTCACAGAAATTGATGTTTGCTTCAGCCAGCCCTGCATGAATGGTGCCACCTGTAGTGCGGAACCCAATGGCGTGGTTTGTTTCTGTCCGGATGGTTACGAGGGATCACTGTGCCAGACAAGTAGGCTTATTCCTTCTTAACTTTAACAAGTTTTTCCTCAAAGCTAAACATTACTGAGAATGGCAAACACTTCCAATTTGTTCTTAGATTTCAAATCTATCCTCTTACACAACGTGTGCATGTACCAAAGATTTATTTTGTCAAAATCGTCAAAGTTTGTAAACAATGTCAG